GGTGTAAGATGATATCTCAAAGTTGTTTTGATTTGCATTTCCCTGATTGCTAATGAGGTTGAGCATGACCTTAGGTGACAAAAAGGCAACCTACTGACTGGGAGAAGATCTTCACCAACCCCGCAACAGACAAAGGTCTGATCTCCAAAATATATAGAGAACTCAAGAAACTAGACTTTAAAATGCTAATTAACCCAATTAAAAATGGGGCACTGAACTGAACAGAGAATTCTCAAAAGAAGAAGTTCAAATGGCCAATAGACTTGAGTTCTTATCTTGTGCTAACTTTTTGTACAGGGAGAATCATACTCAGACCCAGCTCTCTACGATACCCAAAAGCACTAAGATCTGTAAAATTTGGGAGATAGTACATTCAGTATAGTGTTTGCCCTGCCAACATGAGGATCAATTTCTATCCCTGGTATCTACAGGAAAAAAAGGCATGGTGGTACATGCCTGTAACCTCAGCACTGAGTAGATAGAGTCAAAGCATCCCTTGAACTCCCTGGACAGCTGGTCTAGATGAATAGGTGAGCCCTTGACCAGTTATAGACCCTCTTAAAAATGAGTGGAATCTACACCTGTAGATATATTGTGACCTCCATTTGTGTGTAGACCCATGAATATGTGCACCTATACAAACTTTTGGTGTAGACACATAAATCACTTTAACTACTGCTATGCAGCTGTCAGTTTTCACCACATGCTCTAATTTGCCTTATGTTTGTACCATCTAGTTCCCATAAAATTGACTTCTAAAGTACCTCAATGAGTCTCCATAAGAGGTATACATATATAAAGACTTCAAGGTGCTATGTGATAAAATTATCCATTGGTGTTTGTGTGAACTAATTATACAGAGCAATTTATTGAGAAACCATAGACTCTTGAGTGATGAGAGTCTTGCTGCTGGGCTCATCTTTCAGTGTGGCCATGGCAGGATGCTGTGTTCATGGATCTGTTAATGTGCATGATAGTTTATTTGAGGGGAGAGGACTGAATCTGTTAATGCAGATAATCATCTATTTGAGGGTAGAAGGCTGGGGAAATGGCTTCATGAGTAAATAAAGCACCTGTTATGCACAAGAGGAAGATTGGGTTCACGCCCTAAAGGTCCATGTAAAGTTAATACAGTAACTCAATTTTTAATCCCATTGCTAATGCATCAAGATGGAACACAGAGCCAGGAGAATATCCAAATGTTCAGAGGCACTATTTGATAAACAAGAGACCTTGTCTCAAACAAGGTAGGAGGCCTGAGGCTGTTCACTGACATCCATGTGGAAGACAGAAGTGTATTCACTTGTACTCACACACATGAACACATGCACACACAATCCATACAGCATGTACAAAAGACAAAATGAAGGCGAAGGACGATGTGCAGCATTGGCAAACAGCAAATGACAATGAAAGCCAATGGGTGTGGTTTCAATCCTCTACTAAAGAAGGTGTAAAAAGGTGCCCAAATTTATTCAAAAGGCTAGAGAGATCCATCAGAACAGACAGGTCAGAGAAACATGCACTTTATTTTTTTTGGTTTTTCGAGACAGGGTTTCTCTGTAGCTTTGGTGCCTGTCCTGGAACTCCCTTTGTAGACCAGGCTGGCCTCGAACTCACAGAGATCCGCCTGCCTCTGCCTCCCAAGTGCTGAAGAGATTACTTCCCTGCCTTCCCTTTCCCTTCCCTCCATTTTCTTGCCTTCCCTGCCCTTCCCCTCTCTTCTCGCCTCTCCTTGCCTTTCTTTTCTTTCTCATTTTCTGGTTAATAATCACTGTCAACTTACCTGAATTTAAGATCACCCAAATGATTTACATCTGGTTATTCTATGTGTGAGTGTTTCCAAAGAGATATCATTGGGCAGGGAAGACCTACTGAACATAGGTGACACCTACTGATGGGACAGGGTATTAGATCAAATAAAAATGAAAAAAAAAGAGAACTATCTGAGAGTGAACAATCCCCTTTCTCCGTTCCTGATCTTCCCAGATGTGAGAGGCAGCTTCACATTGTCATACATGAAAACGATCCTACCACCATGCCTTTCGTTCCATCATACACCATGCCCCAACCATGAACCGAAACAGAGCTTTCTCTCTCTAGTCACTTCTCAGTTACTTTCCCAAATTTCACTTTATTTTCTTCCTGATGAACAGATCAATTGTTAGTAATGATAAGTTTCACTTTTATATTTCTATCATACAGGTAACATTTTAAAATCAAATACATCTATTTAATGTGTGTCTTGCCCCAGCTGTTGCTATTCTATATTAATGTTTAAGTGGCATTCAACATTCAAATACACACCCTTTCTTTATCTTGTGTTAATTTCTCTGCATATAATATGTTTCACTGAAATTAATGTCCTCAATCTTCATTCATGTTTTCTTTCACTGAATTATTTATAACCAGGCAGTGGTGTTGCATTCCTTTAATCCCAGAAATTGGAAGGCAGAGGCTCATGGATCTCTGTGAGTTAGAGGCTAGTTTGTTCTACAGAGTGTGTTTCAGGACAGCCAGGACTTACACAGGGAACTCTGTCTCAAAAAAGAAAGAAAAATCATAATTTATTTTATGTAAATTGGTCATTTTTCTATGTACTGGGTGTCCAGAGGTAAGAAAATGGAATTGTATACCTTAGAAATGGAAGTACAGACAGTTATGAACCACAACGTGGTGTAATAAATCAAACTCTGGTTTTCTGAAGAGCAACTATTGTTCTTAACTGCTGAATCATCTCTCCATCCTCTCTGTCTTTTTTATCTAAATATGGGAGAAATGTTTGTGACTGTATGTGTATGCCAACCATATTTTCATTGTTCATCTGACAGTAAGCATTTCTGTAGATTCTATATCATAGGTATTGTGAATAATGGAACACTGAGCATGCTCAGACAGGTATATCTGTGATGTTTCAGTGATGAATCTGCTGAGACCACATTTGTGCCACTGTGGCTATTAGGTATCTTGGTTAGTTTTCTATTGTTGTGATAAGACATCATGACCAAGGCAACTGATAGAAGAAAGAGCTTGTTTGGAAGCTTGCAGTTTTGCAGGAGGAATCCATGCTTATTCTGAAATTGAGCATCGTCATAGGCATCCAGACAGGCAAGCAAGCATAGCACTGGAGAAGTAGCTGAGAAATCGCATCCTGATCCACAAGCACAAGGTAGCAAGAGTGAGACACTGGAGATGGCATAGGCTTTTGAAACATCACGGCCCTCCTGCCAGTTACAAATCTCCCTCAACAACGTCACACTTCCTAATTTTTCTCAATACTACTACCAGTTTAGGCCCAATAATTCAAATAATTCAAATATGTAAACGTATAGGTACCATTCTCATTCAAAACAAGACACTGGTTAGTCTGTCTGTACGTTGATCAATTCATCATAAGAATGTAATTAAATGAGAATCAGAATGATATTCAGAATAAAATTGTGCTCTGTTGTGATATGCTGTCACAGCTACATACTTTAATATCAAATTTCAAGAACCAACTACATAAAAATGATCCAAAAAACTAGTCCCAAACCCTTATGTTAGAAATTATGTTTTGATATAAAAAGTCCATATCAACCCTTATAATGCCAGTAAATTTTATGTTGCATCTAAATGACCTGCCATTGTTATATTTAAATGGAGTCAAACACATAAGTTCAAACTCCCACTTTTAGAATATGTGGTCTGGTCAAAACATTTAATGTCTCTTTGTTTCACAGTCCCTGTCTGTAAAACAAAGATAATATCAATCTCACCAGAAAGATTAAAGGATGACACGTATGATACTACCTAGTAAGATGTGAGGGACCACAGTAAACCTACTGCCTTGTGAAAAGATAAAGTAAGATAAACATTGCAGATGTGGGAGTGACAAGAGGTTCTAGAGTCAGACACTAGGATGTGTTTTCTGAGCTTTAGACCTTACCAAAAGTCTTAGCTTGTCACCCCAACATGATCTAGAACTTTAGTTTCTGAGGAATGAATTTCTGTTTACCTCTAAATATCTATCTATTATAGGAGGAAGTTGGAAATCAGCAGAACTGACTCACAGAGAGAGCTCACAACTTGAGTTCCTACTTCCTAACCAAGGACCATCACTGCTGTGTGGCCACACATGGACTAGGTTCATCTCACCATTCTTCCATGAGAATTGACATGTTGAAAATAATCTTGCTATGGTTGCTAATGCACAGTAATTGTACATGTGATGCATTTTACTGGGAATTTTTCATACATACAGCTTTAACCATGCCCGCTTCTTTCCCTTATCCTTAACGGACCCTCTGTACTCAGTCACTTTCCCTGTACATAATAATTCCTCTTTCTATTAATTTTCAACACAATGGAAAATGATAATATTTCTCTTGCTACATCTCACTTAATTATTATAGCATGTCTTCTCTTAATTCCATCTATATCCTTGCAAAAAATAGGATTTTATTCTATTTTAAAACAGAAAAATATGCCATGGGTTATATAAAGCACAGTTTCTTTATTCTTTGAGGGACACTGAAGCTGAAGCCACATCATGGCTGTAGTGAAGAGCACCTCAATAAATTCAACTATGCTGTTGTAGGACACAGTTCTCTGAGGAAAACAAAAAGCTGTCATCTTCCTAAGATCAACCATGACTGCTTGCGAGCTTCTTGACTGTCACAGAGCAGGGATGGAGTATGTCACTGGATACTCACCTGAGAAAGAAGCCATAATTCTCAAGCATTTGCTCACAGTTCAGCCCTAATATTCCTGCCGTGGTGTCTGCAGAGGTGCTATAGTACATACTCTGCATGAAGGCTGAGACTCACTGGTGCAAGTGTGGGGAAGCAGCCGCCCATTCTGGGTGAAGTATCTCCAGTGCTGCTATTCCGAGGTCAACTACGTGTTTGTAAATAACCTTTACCCAATAAATTTATTGATTCTCATGGTGGACTTCAGTTAAGTCTTACTTTGGTTTATTATTTTTACCTTGTGAGTAGGGTGTAGACTGTTTTGTCTCCCAAGGAAAAAAAATACTTGTGCTGTGATAAGGTAACCACAATTTCAGTTTGTGGAGACTCTATGCTGCTCTCAATAGCTATATGAATGCATATACCCGTTCATAGTGTTAATTGGGCATTACTTCCATATCTTTGTCAGCATTCTGTGTTAGTAGTCCTTATTGGGCCACCTCCAATGATGGTTGAGAGTTATACAAAGCTTTGGGTATAAAGATAACAATTTAACAAGAACATCATTAATCTGTCCATGTAACAAAATGATGTTATTGCATTCCTCCCTAGGACCTAGAACCTAACCAACGATGAGTTTTGGGTACTTTTAATGATACCAGACATAATTTGTCTCTTGGAGAGTGGGCTTTAAATGCAATAAGAGAGTGGTTAGTTGCTCCTATAGCATTTAGATATCAGTGAGCATATCATTCAATACCAGTCACTATTTTAGCTCCAAGGGTTCAAAGACAGGTAAGCATTATGAGACACTGTTCCAAGGGAGACATGAACAGATGTTTACTCACTTCAGATAGGGAACTTACAGCAAAACAAAGTAAAACAACCAAAATCTTAAGTTGTTGAGCCAATGAATTTTACTGAGGTTACTCACAGGAATAATTACTTACAGGAGAAGCTATGACTTATGGTGGTTTGAATGAGAATGGCCTCCATAGGCACATATATCTGAATGTTCCTTCTGCAGTTGGTGAATTATTTGGGTTTAGGAGATGGCACACTGGTGGAGGAAGTATGTTACTCTGGGTGGTCTTTGCATTTTCAGAAAACCACCCCATGCACCCTTATCTCTCCGTCTCTCTGTATCTGTCCCTCTTCTCCCTCATGGCTAGAAGTCCGGTGTCAGGTCTTGGCTATGTCTCCAGCGCCATTCCAGCTGCAATGCTGCCATGCTTTCTGCCATGGGTTCATGAACTCTACTACCCTCCAGAACCAAGAACTCAAATTTAAAGTCATTATTTTATAACTGCCCTTGGAAATGGTCTGTTGTAACAGCATTAAAAAAGTTACAAAGACAAGTTTCAAAAAGCTCCATCAATCTGACTACAGGAAAGGTCAGTTCAGGTCCCTCTCCTCTATTGCTTGGGGTCTTAGCTAGGGTCATCCTTGTGGATTCCTGGGAATTTCTCTAGTGCCAAGTTTCTTGCTAGCCCCGTAATGATTCCCTCAATCAAAATATCCTTACCTTGCTCTCATCTCTGTTCTTCCTCCATTTTGACTATCACATTCTATCAAGTTCTTCTCACCCCTCCTTTTCTCCCCTCCTCTTCCCCTTTCACCCTCCCTTTTCCCCTCTCCCACGCTTCCAATTTTGTCAGGTGATCCTGTATATTTTCCCTTTCCAGGTAGATCTATGTATGTTTTTCTTAGGCTTCACCTTGTTACTTAACTTCTCTAGGATCATGAACTATAGGCTCAATATCCTTTTCTTTTTTAGTTAGTATCCACTTATGAGAGACTACATACCATGTTCATCTTCCTGAATCTGAGTTACCTCACTCAGAATGGTGTTTTCTAGTTCCATCCATTTGCATGCAAATTTCAAGATGTCATTTTTTTCTGGTGAGTAGTACTCCATTGTGTAAATGTGCCACATTTTCTTTATCTGTTCTTCTGTTGAAGAGCATCTAATTGTTTTCAGGTAACAGCTATTACAAATAATGCAACAATGAGCATAGTTGAACATATGTCCTTGTGTTATGATTGAGCATCATTTGGATATATGCCCAAGAGAGGTATTGCTGGGTCCTGAGGTAGGTTAATTCCTAACTTTTCTGAGAAACTGCAATACTAATTTCCAGAGTGGTTGTACAAATTTGCACTCCCACCAGCAATGGATGAGTGTTCCCCTTAGTCCTCTCCAACATAAGCTATCATTGGTGCTTTTGATATTAGCCATTCTGACTGGTGTCTCAGAGTCATTTTGATTTGCATTTCCCTGAGATCAGATTGATGAATATCTTAAATATCACCATAGAACCTTCATCCAGTAACTTATAGAAACAGAAGCAGAGACCTGCAATGGAGCACTGGGATGAGCTCCCTAAGCCAGCTGAAGTGTGGGAGGAATGACAATATGAGCAAAGAGGTCAAGATCATTATGGGGACATCCACTGAAAAAATTTACCTGAGCTAACCCAGAGCTCACCTGTGACAGCTCTACCTCGTCCAGCAAGGATGACGCGCAACACACCGGAGCTCTTCTCACTGCAGTTTATTCCAGGACTTTATTCACTTTCTCTCTCTCTCTTCCCCTCTCTCTCTGGGCAAACCTCTCCCAGCCCTTAAGTAGGCATGGGCTGCCAAACCCGGATTGCCAGGTGGGCACTTCCCATAGGCCCACGCATATGCAAGCAGCTGATGATCATTGCTTGATCAGGCATAAGTCAGACCTTAGCCATAGAAGCTGATTATACATCTCCATTAGGTGTGATTCCATGCAGCTTGCTACACTCACCAACTGCAGCTGGACAGGGAAGGAAGCAGCATAGATCTAAACTAGTCCCTCTGAATGTGGTGACAGTTGACAGATGACTGGGACAGACTGCAGGGCTACTGGAAGTGGCACCAGGATTTATCCCTACTGCTTGCACTGGCTTCTTGGGAATCTATTCTCTTTGGATGGATAACATTCTCAGCCTAGATATAGTAGGGAGGGTCTTGAACCTTCTCCAAAGCAATGTGCCTTACCCTCTTCTGAGGAGTGGATGAAGGGTGGGGTGGGGAAGTAAGTAGAGAAAATGGGAGGAGGGAAGGGAGTGGGAACTGGGTTTGGTATATAAAATGAAAAAATGATATTTTGTTTTCTATTTCTATTTCTCATAAAATAAAATAAAATAAAACTCCATCATTTCAAAGTCTGTGTCAAATAAGGTTGCTGACTCACAAAACCTGGAAACTTAGGAAACAACTTGAAGGCAACCTCACAGGTTGCATAATGTCTGAGGAATCTTGGTTTATCTCTTCTTTTTAAAGGCAGCTTCTCTTGTCTTTGTCTGTTAGTTGTCCTTCCAGCTTGTATGTACTTGGATATGAAGGGTTCTAGTGTGTGTGGTAAGTTTCACGGATTTTTCTGTTAAGAGTTTTCATTTGGGAAGAAAATGTCACTTTTTGGTAAGACTGTTGAAAAGTCTTCTTTCCAGGGTTGTGTGTTGAAAACTTACAAACTGGGTTCCCTGCGAGCTCTGTGGAACCTTGGCATACATCCTGCGCCCAAACTTGGGGGACATAGGAAGTGAGTAGGAAGCAACCCTGTGGCCCCAAACCACCTACTCCCTAAGACCTCCACGTGGGAGAAAAGTCAGGGGCTCCTCCCCAGCTCCCTCGGCATTTCTAGCTGCCAGTAGGGAGCTTGCAGGCTAGTCTACAATCCACCCGTCCTCCAACCCACCTTTCCCTGCCAGCTTCATGGAACCCTGGCATACATCCTGCACCCATACTTGGGAGACATAAGAGCTGCCAGCAGGGAGCTTCCCTGCTGGCCCTCCATCCACCCGGCCCCCAACCTGTCTTGTCCTGTGAGTTCCATGGAACCCTGCAAAACAGCCTGCGCCAATACTGAATGGAACTAAGAGACAGCCACAGCAAGGATTGGACCAAGAAGCCAAGACACTGCCGACCTCATTTGAAGGCATAGATGGGCAGGCACCAATGCAAGAATTCCTCCAGCATCCTAAAAAACAACATGGTAACACCAGAACCCAGCAGAAACACAACAGGAAGACTTGATCACCCTAACCCAGAAGAAGTAGAAGAAAACGACTTTAAACATAACTTTATGAAAATGATGGAGACCTTTAAAAAGGAATTGAAAAATTCCCTTAAAGTAATAGAGGAAAAAACAAAAGGCTAAAAGAAATTAATAAATCCCTCAAAGAAAACCAAGAAAAAGCAATCAAGCAGGTGAAGGAAACAGTTCAAGACTTGAAGATTGAAATAGAGGTAATAAAGAAAACACAAACTGAGGGAACTCAGGAAGTGGAAAATCTGGGTAAATGAACAGAACTACAGAGACAAGTATAACCAGCAGAATATAAGAGATAGAAAAAAAAAGACTCTCAAGCGCCGAAGATACTATTGAGGAAATAGACTCACTGGTAAAAAAAAAAGAAAAGAAAAAAAACAATAAATCCAACAAATTCTTAACATAAAACATTCAGGAAATCTGGGACACCATGAAAAAAATCAAACCGAAGAACAATAGGGGTAGAAGAAGGAAGAAGGAGGAGAACTCCAGCTCAAAGGCACAGAAAATATATTCAACAAAATTATAGAAGAGAACTTTCCCAACCTACAGAAGGATATCCTATGAAAGTACAAGCCTACAGAACACCAAATAGACTGAATAAAAAAAATCCCCTTGTCATATAATAATCAAAACACAAAACATACAAAACAAAGAAAGAATATTAAGAGCTGCAAAGGAAAAAGGTAAAGTAACATATAAAAGGAAACCTATCAGAATTACACCTGACTTCTCAATGAAACCATGAAAGTCAGAAGGTCCTGGATAGATGTGCTGCAGACACTAAGAGACCATGGATGTAAGCCCAGACTACTATACCCAGAAAAGCTTTCATTCACCAGTGATGGAGAAAACAAGATATTCAATGACAAAAACAGATTTAAACAATACGTATCCACAAACCCAGCCATATTGAAAGTACCAGAAGGAAAACCTCAACCTAAGGAAGCTAACTACACCATAACAACACAGACATCTGTTAGCTCCCCACCAGCATAACCCAAAGAAGGGAAACACACAAACAATACTACCGAAAGATAACCAGAGTTAACAACCACTGGTCATTAATATTGCTTAATATCAATGGACTCAATTCACCTATAAAAAGACACAGGCTAAAAGAATGGATATGAAGTATCTTATCCTCTGTGGGAACAAAAGAAGAATGTCTTTTCC